CCCCCCTCCTCCCAACGTTTCTCATAAATGACTTTGATGACCACTCTCAAGGCCTCTTTGTAGGCACATAAGCATTTAGAAAATGGAAAGAGAGAGAAGTGAAAAAAGTTTCTAATCGTGGGACAAGCATGTTTATACAAACGGAATAATTGGACCAATGCTAATTTAAAATAAAGGTTACATTTCATTTTGCTTATATTTTTAGAAGACTAAAGGAAAGCTGCAATCGCTGCGTGGCATAAAGGATTAAGAGAAAAACTACTAGCCAAAAGCTTGATTGTTCAAATGCACCCAGAGGTGCCTAATGATGTCTTCATAGGTCATCTGCCTTCGGAAGGTCACAAACTTGAAATCGTCTGCAGTGGCTCTACTCTGCACATGTGAGGTCACCATGAGCCGGAACTGACGCAACAGAACTAACAATAAAGTGAAATTCAAGCTCCTGAAGAACTTCAGGCAAACAATTCCTCACTGTGAGGGTGACTGGTTTCTACAAGATGCTGATACATTGAGAGAGAATCCCAGATGGCAGACAAGGCAGATAAACTATTCTCTACAACAAAGACTCAAGAAACCAAGTAAAGAAGCTATGGATAACAAGCCTGTAATCAGAAAGAATAAGTATATCAAATACTATGAGAGGAAAAGATGGGATGAAAACGGTAAACAAGGAATGGTAGACTGCCAATTGGCACAAAATAACATGGTCATTAAAAAAAAAGGATTCCCCCCCCAAAAAAGTTTTATTGGCATATATTTCACACATCATATAATTCAAAAGTTTGATCATATTTAGCAGAGTTATATTATCACCACAATCAATTTCAGAACATTGTATTACCTCCTGAACTCATTGTGATTAGCCTCCCATTTCCACCCCTCTCCTGCCATATTCCTAAAAAAGCCATTAATTCAGTTATTATCTCTATAGATTCACACATCCTGGATCTCATATTAAAAAACAAAAATACAGGAAACAGAGAAACAAATAACAACAATAACAATAACAAAATAAAATAGAGAAAAACCTCAATTAACAATAAAAATAACTAAGGTGCTGCCATATGATTCAAGGACTTCTGTGCTCAAGGGTTTCTCTTTGACATGTTCCACAGTTGCCCCTCTCCCTCACCTCCACTTGTCTCCAAACTGGAGATTCCCAGTGAGACCGCGCAGAAGGTTGTTAAGGCACCTCTGTCCTCAATACCAGTGTAGCAGGGCAGTGGTGGGTAGGGAGTTGGAGATGCACTCACTAATGAATTCACCCACCACTGAGAGATGCCAAAATCTTTTCTGCCCATCCCTTGTCAATGTTCACAGCACCAGTTGTAGCTCTGTCTTTGGTTATAGCTGCAGACATTTTAAACTTTTAAAAATACTTTTTCTTCTGTGCATTGGATATTAAGGAGGGTCTGTATTCCTATATTATTCTGTAGTTCACCTAGAAGGTAATCATGTACACCACATTTTTTTTCTTGTACAACACTTTTATAAAGCAATCTGTCACTAAGCTTACAGAGCTAAACAACTGTTTTCTACTTTAACTCATAAATTCCCCTTCTGGGAATTTACCATAAAGAAATAATTCACAATGAAAAAAAATTCTGTATACATGACTATGCAGCACCATCTGTGATGGCAAAGAATTGGAAATAGTGTCCAATCTTCATATTAGGAGGCCAGTCAAAACCATGTCTTTTAAAATGAATGAAATGTTCAGCAGTCATTAAAATAATAGCTACAAAGGTATCAACAAACAAAATGTTTTTAAGAAACAATGACATATGATATGTATTAATCTGGTAGGTGTGGCTCTGCTGTTATGAATGAATATGATTGAAAGATTTGTCCTATCACCAGTTCCCCTTGTTTTTGTAAATAGTGTCCAGCCACTTAGAGTCCAATTTGTAAAAGTCAATAATTCATGTATTGCAGTTCATAGCTGCTCTACACTCATGTAATTTCCTTTCTCAACTGTGTTTCAAATTTTATATCACTGGCTAAACTAATGACACTATCAATGCATACTGATTATAAGGTCAACAGTTCAAAACCACCACCCAGCTCCACCGGGGAAGGATAAGGCTTTCTACTTCTATGAAGATGTGCAGGCTCAGAGACTCACAGGGGCAAATCTACCTGCCTCATAGGGTCGCAATAAATTAGCAATGACTTGCTAGAAGTGGAAGTGATGACTCAGGGAGATGAATGATAATGTTATCTAACATAAAATGAGAATGATGCCTCTAAAGTAAACCAGAGACATATATAAACCATAGATGCATGAATAGATTTTTGGCTTTCATTTAATGCTAGCCCAAATCAAAGAATAGTTAGTTCTTATGACATGGCCCTGCTTGATGCTAGAGCTCATGGACAAATTCTTAAAGATATTGGGGCAAAGTGGGGTGAAAATACCAGATGGTTCCTGCCCAACTACTTCAAAGAACAGTGTCTAGAGTCTTAAAGGCTTATTTTCAAACAGTCATCTAAGTGAGGTGTCAACTTACTCTACCTGGAAGAAGCACACCAGTCTTTGTGACCCAAGGATTGTAATTAATATAATCTGAATCTAAAGGAGGGAGTGGTATTCGAGCTTAAATTGTGAATATCTGGTTAGCAAAAGGCTATAGATGACAGTGGAAGCCCAAAATCCATTTGCAGGGTCCACACAGAAAGGGGCTCAGTAACGTTTTGCTTTATGTCTCCTGGTTGTAACTCAAACTCTGGTCAGAGTGCAAGGGAAGAAAGGGGCAAACAACAGAAACCCAGGAAGAAAGACTTCGATTACCTCTGCCACTCACAGCTGTTTTCCTCTCATCCACTGAAAAAATGAGGCAAATTTTCCAACAGAGAGTTGAGTAACTTTCCAAAGAGCACCCAGTGGATAGGTGAAGAGTGGGGAATTTAGGATTTTCTGGAGAAGTGAATCTCTCGGTTGGCAAACAAGGATTTATGTCAGGAGATGTAGCCTGACCT